ACCCGGATCCGGCCTCAAATCATCTCGTAACCACCATACTGGAAATACATACCAGGAAGATATCAAACATTCCATGCAACAATGGAAAACCAACTACCAACAAAACCCTAGGGATTGTGACTTTCTTGCTACGCGTACGGGTCCATACTACCTTCCACACCTACCCATATTTGTCTCAAGTATCATCACAACGCCCTAACAATATACAACTTGCAAGGCTCTGTTACGCGAGTGTTTCCTCCAATTCACTCAAACCAAGGCTTCGATACCAACTTGCAACACTCATAAAAATCATGCCAAATTTAAACCTGTTTTTTAAAACATTTCCAAACCAATGATTATTACAAAACTTGTTTTCAAAATAGTATAATGTCAGAGTATCCCAGAATCAAATCATAAATTAATAAAATATGAGGAGCTGTACGATCACGCCTTCGCCTTCTCGCAATCATCAGAAGTACCTGAAACAATAATCGATATATGTAAGCTCGAAGGCTTAGTGAGTTACCCCCAAAATATCAATGCCATAAAACACATCAATAACATATAAGCAAACATCATGCATAATGAGCCATCAGTCTGAATGGACCACCTCCCAGTCCTCAGTCTATCTGGACCGCTCTCCGAGCCTTCGACACGTCTGGACCGCCCTCCTCGGGGCCTTCAGCCTATCCGGACCGCTCGCCGGGGCTTTGGCCTCTGACTAATTTGCCCAGCTCGAGCCTGCAGTCTATCTGGTCCGCTCTGGGTGTCTTGGCCTACAGCACACAACAGGACCTGCCTCAACCCAATCCCAATCCCAACAAACATGTGCACATAAATATCATACGCTAGCATGCAATAACAGATAGTCATACATATCTAACCGATCTCTAACATAACAACCATCCTATAACCAGGATATCAATCTAACAGATTACTAACATGGCAACCATCCTAAAACCAGGATGAAATCTAATAGATCAACAACATAGCAACCATCCTAAAACCAGGATGCCCATCATAGAGGGTCGACCTTGGTGCCGTAGACCCTGTTGATATAGTGAGGAGAACTCACCTCATAAGTAGCTCGATGATAATACAGTCAACTCCTCCAAACACCACTCCAAACACCAACACCTATAACCACCAATGGTCCATTCCCGTAAATTCCCAAATTACCAAAATGCCCTTAGAAGTCAAACTACTCAACCCTTGGTCAAAGTCAAAGTCAAAGTCAACGGTCAAGGTCAACAGTCCATGTTGACCCAGCTCGTCGAGTACAGTATACCGACTTGTCGAGTTCGTCCAGAACTCACAGACTCATAAATCCCTAGTCGACTCGCCGAGTTTCCAGGCAACTCGCCGAGTCCAAGCGTGTCCAAAAGTCGGGAAAATGCTAACCGACTCGTCAAGTCGTTGCAATGACTTGCCGATTCCATGCAGAAACCAAACTCAGGCAATCTTCATCCGACTCATCGAGTTGACCAATCAACTCGTCGAGTCCCTTCAGTCCAACACTCATTCAGACGATTTTAAGCTACTATAAAGCTCCATATTGCAGATCAAGCTTCCCAAGGCATGTTTATCAAGTAAAGTTGCAAACTTTACGTGCATGCAAGGTGTTGAAGGCCAAAATCAAACTAAAGAAGAGGTTCTAGGTGAGAAGAAGGCATTATATTGCTAAAGGCTGGAACTTTATAACTATAAGGGGCTAAAGGAGTCCAGATCTGAAGTTACAACTTCAGATCTTGTCCCAATCTGGAAATACAACCACAATACATCAAAAGAGTTCTAAACCCATGAAACATCTAGCTAATGGAGAGCCAAGGTAACAACTTGTTACCTTCAAAGTGATGCTAAGATGAAGTAGAACTCGGATCCACAACCTCTCTTTGCTCCAACTTCTTGTACTTCAAGCTCTTCCCACCACAATCCACCTTCCAAGCTTAATATCACACCAAAATGAAATATAAGCAACGATTTAGGGTTTCTGGACTCATAAGGGGCTGTAAGGGAGGCTAAGGGGTAAGTGACCCTTAAATAGGGTGCAAAATCCCGGGGATTAGGGTTTCTCATTCCAACTCCAACTCTTCGAGTCGGGTTCACCAACTCGTCGAGTTGGTTACTTAAGCCACGTGGCCAAATGCGTCCCTACTCGACGAGTCGAGGCACCAACTCGTCGAGTAGATCTTCTGAGATGGACATAAAACTGTAAAATTATATGCCTGGGAGTCGAGGTGTTACACCAATCTCAATTAAAATCCCAAAATACCCTTAAGGTTAAACTTGGTCAAAGTCAAAGTCAAACTGGTCAAACCAACTAAGTTAATTGAGTCAACCCAACCGAGTCAACTCAACCGAATCAACTCAGAGTGAGTACGCGGGGCGTACTCCGAAGGTACACTAGGCGTACTCGCGTCTTCGCATGCTAAGCACCATCGGGGTAGTTGACCCCGTACGAAGGGCATACTCCCAGTACATGGGGCGTACTCCTAGAAGCCAAAACATTCATTAAGAGCTTAATGGCTTAAGATCTTACGTCCATATTTCAAATCCATGGCTAAAATACTCTTAGGAGTCATAAAGTCTCCAACTTTATGACTTATCATGTCCAATAAGTGCTTAACTCAAGGTCTTAATCCATTAAGACCTTCTAAATGATGCATGGAGCAAAACTAACCATTTGGAACCCATTTTTATGACTCAAGACCCTTCCAAAGGTCCGAAAGGACGACTTAATGGGTCAAGAACATGCTTTGTTCAAGAATCATCATTTTGGGACCTAAAAGAGAGTTTAAAGAGCAAAAACCTAGATCTACAAGATGGAGTGGCAAAGATGCAAGCTTTATACATTTTAGAGGTTGCAAACAAGCTAGAAATCCCAGATCTACAATGCACTCCACTCCAAGATCTTCATATCACCTTCTTCTTTCTTCAAAAACCACTCCAAACTCTCTTAAAGGCTCACAATTTTGGTCTTTCTTGCTCTAGGGTTGCTTGAGGGTCGAAATCTCTAAAAGAGGTTGTGTAAGAATAGAGTTTGTGTCCATAAAGATGCTTAAATATGAGCCAAGACCCTAAAATTAGGGTTTGCATGCCAACCACGTACGCCCCGCGTACGAAGTGTACGCCCAGCGTACTAAGGCGCGCCTTAGTACGCTTAGTGTACAAACACGTACGCATGGCGTACTCAAACTTCCAGATTTTACCAAATTGCCACTATGGGCCCTTTTCCACACTTTCTTACACTTAGGGACCAACCATGCAATATAATTAAATTATAGGGTTTAAATTAGAAGTACCTTATCATCGGGGTGTTACATCTTACTTTGATCTATTGGAGCTTCCCTCAGGTAGTGATGTTACCAGATGGAATAGATTTCTGCCTATAAAAGTTAACATTAACATGCTTCCTACTAGTTGCAATCTGGATAGTAGATGTGTTGATGTGGATTCAGCGATATGCCCGTGTTGTCGTGTTGAGAAAGAGGATGTCAACCGTTTGTTATTAAAATTCAGTTTGGATCGTCAACTTTGGCAAAAGGTTGTTGTTTCGATCCCTCAGTTTGAATCTTATCAATATTTGTTGCAATGGATTGATAACCATTCTGTGATTAACTTTCGAAGGGTGATTATAGAGATGGTTTGTGGCACTTTGATCTGGGTTCTTTGGACATACGGAAACACACTTATATTTTAGGAACGTGATCTAAAAAAGAGAGCTTATGTTTGATTTCATTGTTTCCTTTTCGTTTAATTGGTTTTGCAATATGATTCATAAGATTAGAAAGAATTGGAATGAGAGGATGAAAAACCCCCTCATGAACTAATTGGTTGTTTTCTTGCTAGCTTCTAGCTAGCGTTTTTTAATACATATAGCCGCTCAAAAAAATAAGTTATTCCAACAACAGCAACATCAGTAACAACGATTATATTTTGTTATAAAATCAATATAAATGTTAATAATAATGTGAATTAAATAAAGAAACACATTTGGATGATATAGGATACCACATTAACATACGAGAAATTAAATATTCCCCTACTTATTCTTCCTACTCATATTCTTATCACTTTTAGACGACGACAAATATAATAAAAATTTGCTAATTTTATTAAATATGACAAGTCACAATTTTAAATGTGTAGAAAGATGGTAAAAAAAAATAGAAGGGTATTTGATTTATCTTTTAACATAATATGAATTAATATTATCAAATATATAAAAGTAGTATCCCACTTCGAGCGATTACATATAAGCTATAAATAATTATTTGGTATATTTTTCTCAACAGAGAAGATATGGAAGGTCACATTTTATATTTGAAAAAGGTTAAAGGTTAATGTCACATCGTAAGTTTTAATTTGTTGTTATTCTAATTCTAATTATAAATCAATAATATTTTTTTATAATTATATTATTGTGGGTTTTAATTCGGTGAAGAGGTATTTAATATATTATATCTATCATGACATCCAATATAATAAAAAAAATTCGTCTATGTTTCCGATCTATCGATACTCGATGACAGAAACCCACAACGGAAACCACATAGAATTAAACATAGAAAAATAATTGATTCAGTTAGAAAATAATAAGTGATTTAAAAACAAATTAAAAATTATTAACAAGACATTAACCTATCCAAAAATTGATTTGTAGAAAGTAGAAACCAACAATCTCTTAATAATTTAAGTTGTTTCTTTAACAAAACGGTTTCCTTTAAAAATATAAAGTACAAACGCATATTCTTTGTTTAGCTTTTGTCCCCCATTTTACTCAAAAGGAAGGACAAACAACTCCCACTCTACTTCCTATTAATGAATATTGTCACAAAAGCCCTTAATTTGCATAATTTGTAGATTTTACCTCAAATTCATTTTTATATCTATTAATGCCTAATGTTTTTGTGGCTTTTGTCATAAATTTATTTTAACAGTCTAAGCTACAAGACCATCACTTTTTTATTCTTAAACTTTTAAAAGTTTACATACATAAAAGTTACAGAATGAGACATCTCACGAAACACGTAACTAGCATCCTCTATAGCAAATTAACGTACCACAAACATAAATACTGCGACAGAGAGATTACAAACTAAAAATATCTCCCCCTGTCCATATGTGCATATCACCACAACCATCACATTGAAATTTATTCAAAAACATAAATAGATAATTTAAACCCTAAACCCAAAACACACACACAAGTGACACGTCATGGAATTCACAAATGATCAAACCGGATCCACCCAGTTTTTTTTTTTACCCGGACCACCCTCTCGATCCGCCCGAGGAGTGACCGTTCAACCGGTCAAGCACCGCATTAAAATCAACCGTCTGCCCGGTTTCATCCAACCTCTGAATCACACTCATAACATGGTCACCCCTATACCCCATGCTTACCAACTTCTCCACCACTTCATTGTACGGATGATTTGGTGTAAACCGTTGTGTAGGACGCATAACTTGCTGCGGGTTTTGAGAATAACCGGGTTGCGGGAAATGACCAATTTGGTTTGAATGTTGTTGTTGAGGATGTGGGACCCTTCCCGGTTCACCATCATACATCATGTAGCCAGGCGGCGGCGGCCCACCGGCGGCATACCCGTCGCCTGGCGTTCCTCCGAACGCGGGCTTCAGATGCTGCGGTGGTTGCTGTGGCTGAGGTGGCGGCGGCGGCGTTTGGACAGGTCCACCGTACGCGTATGTCATGGCTTGGCTAGAGCCGGGCGGTGGACCGCCAGGGCCACCGGTGTAAGGCATACTTTGCGGGAGTGGTTCAATGGGGCCAGCATTGTGGTACTGCGGGTAGACTTGAGGTGATGACGGTCTGGACCCAGACCCAGGTTGTACCTGTACCTGGGCCCATTGTGGTTGTGGTTGATACTGTGGCTGTGGTTGTAACTGTGACTGTTGTTGTGGCTGATACTGTGGTTGTGGTTGTGACTGTGGTTGTGGTACTTGAGGGTGCATATATTGGGCCGTGGGAGTGGGAGTGGGGGCTGGAGGTAGATAATAGCCCTGTGGTTGTGGTTGTGGTGCAGGTTGGGGTGGAGCTACCTGACTGGGTAGGGCTAGGGCTAATTGTTGACTTTGTGGGTCGGGTAAATTTTCGGTTTTTTTAGTATCGGGTGTTGAAGATCGTTCCTCATTTTGTTGTGAGTTATGACTTGATGATGATTCTTTGTGTGCAAGTTGAAGTTTCGCTAGTTCCTTTTGGGTATCCGCAAGTTCTTGTTTATCTCTCAAAATTTGTACCGATCTGTGTACCTGTATCAATAATCATACCATAAAAATTGTTACGTTTTGTTTCGTCAAATACAGTAAAACCTGTTTTGTTTTGTCTAGACTGTATTACACCGGATAACAGTACAATTTGCTTTTGATGTCATATCAAAAACAGTAAAACCTATTTTGTTTTGTCATGTGTACTACACTGGATAATAGTACAATTTGTTTTTGATGTTGCATCAAAGACAGTAAAACTTGTACTACACTCGATAATAGTACATTTTGTTTTTGATGTTGCATCAAAGACAGAAAAACTTGTACTACACTCGATAATAGTACAATTTGTTTTTGATGTTGCATCAAAGATACAGTAAAACCTGTTCTGTTTTCATCTGTATAGACTGTTGTGATTGAAACTGACCTCTTGAAGATGTTTTTCGAGAAACTTAAGCTTAACTTCGGATTCACCATGATCACGTGTCAAATCAGAGCGCATTTCCCCAATTGATTTATCAAGATTGTAGCAATAAAGCTCGAGTTGTGATAGACGTGAACTAAGCCCCTCAAGAAAACGCATAAGATTGTCTGTATGTTTCTTCATAGACCTCTCGACAGCTGAAATAAGCACTTCTTGGTTGCCAGAATCATCAGGTGGACTGTATGAAGAACCAGGGAATACCGATGTTCTTGCCATTCTGCTTTTGTGGAATTCCTGCTAAAAAAATTGGATTTTAAGCCATTAACGTTTTCATTTTCTATCATGGATACAAAGCAATAATCTGCAAATTTTACCACAATCAAGACTTTAAGCTATACATCAATCTTCGAAACTTATATTGCAAGAATCATAGTATTAAGAAGTATAATTTCACTTAACGAACAACCGAAATCATACGATCCTTACTTAGAAAGTTATACCTTCCAAATTCAATAACTATAATCAAAGAAAGCATAGATTGTTCATAAGAAAGCAAATCGAAAAACCCATGTATCAAGAAAACCCTAAAAAGTGAATTAAACAATTCATCAAGAAGCGATATGGATTTAGAGAATTAGAGTTGCATACTTTAGCGGGATTAGTGACGATCGCGGAATCAGAGTGATTTCCGTTAGAACCTTCTTGATTAGCGTAATCTTCGTATGAACAAAGAATATCGTCTGATGCAAAATCAAACCCTTTTGAAGATCCAGAAGCCATCCAGCGAAACAAGATCAACTGAGACCCAAAATCAAGTTACCCAAAAGCAGAAAAACCCTTAAATCAACTAGGGTTTGATGATAATCGAAAAGAAAGATGAGATAATAAAGGGCGAGTTCCTTCGATTGTAGGCAAGAAGGGGGTAAACAGGAAGGTTCGTGATATATCTTGGTGTGGTGCTTAAGATAGAGAACGTTTTATATATGGGGTTTTTGATTGATTGAAGATTTGATTTTTCTTTTGTTTTGTTTGGGGAAAATGTGAATTCATGTAAAAGTAAACCGAAGAATATGTTGGGGTAAGAGCTTGGATAAGAATTGAAATTGAAATTAATTAATAATTCATCTAATCAACACCCTTACTTTCTCTTTTTTAATCTTATTTAAACTTTGCGAAAACTTTTCCATGTGACATATTATGAATATTTATGATATCGAATATAAATTTTTAAACAGTTTATATATTTAAAATTATATTTTTTGGTCTAAAAGAATTTAAAGTTTTAATTTTAAACTGATGGACATATATCTGTCAGTACTGAAACCCTTTAGCATATTGAAAATATTTATTTATCATTGATTAAACAAACACAAGATCAAATCTTTTATGGAAATGCACAACTTGTTGGTTAAAATTCGTCAAAAATAAATGGTCTTGATGGTTGCTTACGTGGTATTTCAATTTAATAACACCGACCATCTTTTGTTGCCACATCACACAGAAAAAAAAAATTTATGTATAATACTTTTCATACTATTTTTTTTGTCCTAAAATAAGAACATTGATTTCATTTTTGTCCTAATTTTTTTTTTTTTTTTATAGAAAACCCCTATTAAGGTTGTGCTATAAGTACCCTTACTAATTTTACCCCATTAACATCAATCAAATCAACTTTTTACTTTTGATTTCACATTATTTTTTTCTTTTTCTTTTTTTTTTCTTTTTGTTTTTGATTTTTTTTCCTTTTATTTTATATTTTATTATTATTATCATTATTATTATTATTATTATTTTAATAATAAAAAAAAATTCGGACAACATTTTAAATTTCGGATGACATTTTAAAATTCGGTAAACATTATAAATTCGCACGACATTATAAAATTTGAACGACTTTTTTGTCCGTAATTAAAAAATATAAAAAAATATTTAAAAACCGATTTTATATAGCCGTTTGAATTTATAATATCGTCCGAATGTTAAAATTTTGTGCGAAAATAATAATAATAATAATAATAATAATAATAATAATTAAAAAAGAATTAAAAATAACAAAAAAAACAAAATAGGAAAAAAACAAAAAAAAACAACAAAAGACAAAAAATCAAATCAAGGGGGTGGAATTGGAAAATGAAGGGGGTATTTATAGAAAACCCCTATTAAATATTACATGATTAATTTGATGCTTAAATAAATTATTTTAAAAAATAATTAAAAATATAAAGATATTATGAAAAATGAAACAGCAAACCAAATGATAGTAATTAAAAGTCAAAGCTATTTTGGAAAAGTATTTTAATTACTTTGTTTATTACGTCATCATCGTGTATTAAGAATGAAACAATGTAAAGTTTGGTACTTTGGTACCAAAGGAGTCAAAGTCTATTGACACTTTGTTATCAAAATAACTAAATGTTTCTAGCTAAGTTATACAATGTTGCTCTCTCTATCTTTTTAAGATTGATCGGTTCATGTATCTTCCTAGATATAGGTAGAATTAACCAAAAGGTTTGTAGCTAAGTTATACAATGTTGCATCGTCCTAGGTATAGGTAGAATTAAGAAATAATTTATGAGTAGATTAGATAGATTGTTCAAAAAAAATTCCGAATAAAATAAGGTTTTTAATGTTTATATAAACATGATAAACTTTGTTCGGTTAAAAAGAAAATTGAGAAATGATTCGTTATCATGACCAAAAAAAGGATATAAATAGTGGTGAATTCAAAATTTTGATTGGTTCACAAAAATTCATATATAATTTTTTGGTTTGGTCAAAAAATAATTTTAAGTACCGATAACAAGAAAATATTAAATTACAAGAAAAGAATTGAATTACATACTATAATAATCTTTAGTATTTTTCATCTTTTGGGAAAGATCAATCACATAACATTGGTTATACTTTTTTTTCAACATAATCAGCTTGGAAATTAAGATTTATAATATTAAAAATTTAAAACTAAAAACTAGTTAAAAAATTATCTAGAAAAAGAAACAAAAGACAAAAATAGGCATATTTTACTAAATTAAAAAAATTATCCAAATTCAATTGTAATATATATAATAAATTTCAAGCCATTCGGGACATGTGCCCCTACACTCTTCTACTAGCATCCGCCCAGGATACAAATGTCATTGCGTACTAAAATATAATTAGGTTTGCTCGAACTTAAAAAAACAGAAAAAATTACTGAATCACTTGTTAGATGAGAAGTGGAACACATATCCATGTACCACAAAATCTCTTGTGGTTGAAATTGCAAGATGTGAAAAGAAGCCTCGAGCTTGGTAGGTATCATTAGGTTCCTATACATAGAAGTATTTTTGGTTGTGAGGTGGGCGTGTGGAGTGTAATGTTGAGTTGTGGAACCTTATTCGCCTTTTTAACCCTATATCCACTAGGCAAACCAAGCAATGTCGTAGTTTTCGTGGGTTGGTTCCTATATCAGAATTGACTTCAATTTATTTTATGGGCTAGTTTTCGTTAGTGTTTCTGGCCTTGGCTCTGTTGATAGTTTTAAGTCAGCTAATTAGTATTTATATTCCATGAATTCATATAAACTAATGTACCGAAGTCATTCGGCAGAATCAATAAAATCTATTTATCTGATAGTTTCATTTTATTTACTTCTTTTTATAGTTTATTTTAGCACATTCAATCTCATTTTAGTTAATCTTCATGCATATTTTCTCTTTTTGTTATTTTTCTCCTTTACCGGGTGCTTTCCAGTCTTTTGAGCTTATTTGCAGGATTTACTGAAGACTATTCGTTACTGGAGGTATGGAAGGAGTACGGGACAATTGGAGGCTTGTGGGTTGCTTGTGAACTTGAGGTGGTGCAATTGGGCTCGGTGTCAATATAAGCGAGAAGCGCGTTGGGCTTAATCTTTGGACAAGGACTCGAGCTATGGAGGATTGAAGGAGCGTTGGATCATCATTGGAGGCTTTGGAATAGCACAATTGGGCTCCCAAGAGTTGTGCATGTGAGTTGGAGCATAAATTAGAAGATTGGGCTGGATTGCTATTTTAATGGGCCAAGGCATGCATTCAGCGTGACCCACGCGGTCCGCGTGGAACCATACGCGGACCGTGTGAATAGTGGTGAAGTGAACCCGGGTTTTGACTTGTTGACTCTATTTGTGGAAGGTTGGTGGGTAGCTTTTGGGAACTTTTTGAATCCGGAAATGAATCCCTTTTACTGGAGATTTGAATCATTTTTTTCAACATGAACACTTGGAAGGAGGACTCCGTTTTTTGCTCTCAAGAAGGCTTTGGAAGAATTGGATGATTTAGAAGATTGGTGTAATTTCTTTCCATCATGCAACTAGAACAATGTTTGGTACCATTAAACTATATTGTATTTCTTTAATCTTGGCCATGCTTGGCTAAATTCTCATTTGGTTGATTAGGGTTTAATCCCATGGATGATTGGTTGTTTTGAAGA